AATTTCGGTATTATTATATGGTAGTATGATTTCAGTCAAAACTGCGTGGCGTGTTACCTAGGTAGTACGCCACCCTCTCTAGCAAACTGAGATAACACGCCATGGCGGCTAAAGTGGAAGAATTCGGCAATTAATTACTTGTAATGTTTAGCCATTTTGTGCATTTTTAAGCCATTATTATCGTAGAAATATCTCTCGCACTCATCGCACGGTACGGATCGGGCCTTCGGTTGAGCCGACCTATAAAAGGCTCGCGCCGTCGGCTGAGCCGATGAATGAAGGGCTCGAACCCTTGGTTGAGCCACTGAATCAAGGGCTTCAGCCCTCGCCTGAGCTGACCAATGAAGTGGTCGCATGTGAGCGAAATAAGTATCACGTGTTTCAAAACCTAGTTCACAGTGACTGCACCATAAAACCGGTGGCGATGGTGTGCGCCGTTTGACCCGACGTATACCCGGAGCCAATTCACGGACCAACTCACGCCCACTTCTGGTCAGTGTAACGGTCTCTACGGGCGGTCTGTTTAATAGCGTAAACACTATTACAATACAAATACTATAAGAGTTGTGACAATACTTGTTGACTATTTCCGGCACCAGAGGTATGGAGTCTATGAGCGATGGCTTGATATCAACGGGCGATCGGTTACGTGCGGGCCGTTACTGTTTAATAGCGTAAACACTATTACAATACAAATACTATAAGAATTGTGACAATACTTGTTGACTATTTCCGGCACCAGAGGTATGGAGTCTATGAGCGATGGCTTGATATCAACGGGCGATCGGTTACGTGCGGGCCGTTTGGGCGCCGGAACTCTGCCAATGAGTACGATATCAGAGTCCGAATCACTTGAGTGTTGAGGAAAAAAGTGATTAAAAATTACTAAATGTCTTAAAACATACGTATCGGTAGTGATGTTCACCAATTGATTGTCGGCGCTGGAAGTGGTGGCGATTGTAGGCACTGGTGGTAAGGCATCGGGTGTTTGTCTGATATCGGATGTAATGTCAATAATTATCTTAAACACACACAAAATCACATACTTATGGTACGTTTGGTTCACCGGTTGACTGAATGGTCTGGAAGTGCTGTTTGTGACCATTACTGTGGGCGTGAGTGTCCACGAGTGGAACTGATCGCTGGAGTGAACGATCCGCATGTGTTGATACACCAGTAGTCGATCGGTAAATTTTTGGCCGCATTCCGTACATCGGTATCCGCCCGACGCCGACCATCGAGTGGTACGTCTGGTGCGGCGACCGGTCGGCCAGTTTGGCCACTGGTCTATACCCGGCTCTAACTCACGCGAGCGCTCATTGCCGGCACTGGTAGTGCTAGTAATGAGAGGTGAGTTTAAAATATAGATATTTTAATTAAAGCATCGAAATAACTTTTCGGAAATTGGTTAGAACGTAATTTGTTGATCAAATTTAGCCGACAATTTTCAAATGATGATTTTATTTGAAAGAGTATTTATTGAGTG